ATCTATTCAATGAAAAGATCATCATGAGTAGAGATGTTGAATTCGATGAAGAAGTATCATGGGATTAGAACGTCAAAGAAGATGAAGATGATAACTTCTCTCCGCTCTTTGAAGATGAAAATTCATCATGATAAGAATCCAAAGAGATTGTCACTTTACCTTAATCCCCTATTCATTCACTAGTTTAAGGCTTATCACTATCCTCAAGTTCAAGGTCAAGGTCAAGTGAGAGTGAAAATGAGAAGACTTATCGTTTCGAAGCTTGGAAGAAATTTATAAGATGATTAAGAACCTAAATGATCGATTTAATATTTTTTAACTCTTAACAAATTATAAGCCTATTGACTTTAAAAAAGCGGCACGAAGTAAGAAATGGAGAGACATAATGGATGAGGAGATTAATGTGATTATGAAGATTGATACGTAGGAGATAACAAGACTCCCCAAAGGGCATAGGGAAATTGACGTCAAATATGTCTACAAGATAAAGAGAAATGAAAAAAGAGAAGTAGAGAGGTACAAGGCAAGATTAGTAGCAAAAGGATACAAACAGAGAGCTAGCATCGACTATAATTAGGTATTTTCTTATGTTGCTTGCTTAAAGATTAGAAGACTTATTATTTCTTTAGCGAGTGTAAAATAATTAGAGAATCTATGAAATGGATGTGAAGTCGACATTCTTAAATGGTTATCTAAATGAATAAGTCTACATTGAGCAACCATTGGGCTATGTGAAGAAAGAGGATGCGCACAAGTTTTGACATTGAATAAGGAACTTTATGGATTGAAACAAATAATAAGAGCTTGGTACAACTGCATAGATAAATATTTCTAAGACAATAATTTTTTAAAATGTTTTCATGAGTATGTCGTCAACACCAAATGTGTGAATGAAGATGTCTTGATCATGAGCCTATAAGTGGATAACTTGATCTTCATCGGCAATAATCTAAACTTATTTAAGGAATTTAAAAGGATCATGACTAAAGAATGTGAAACGACGGACATTAGAATGATGTCATATTATCTTGGGATTGAAGTGAAGTAAGAATACGATGGCATGTTCATTTCTCAAAAAAGTTATGCAAAAGAAATTCTTAAGAAATGCAAGATGAAAGATCTGGAAGCCAATTAGCATGTCCGTAAAGTGTAAAGTCAACCTATCCAAACAAAATGAAAGAGAACGAGCGGATCCAACATATTTTAAGAGTTTAGTTAAAAGTCTCGGATATTTAACATGCACAAAACTTGATATTCTCTTTGGAATTGGCCTCATAAGTCGTAGTATAGAGAATCTTGCTACAACACATCTAAAAACGAAAAAGAGAATTCTTTTCTACATCAAAAGCACAGATTGATTATGGTATGTTCTATAGTTAGTTAGAAAATTTTAAACTTATAGGCTATAGTAATAATGGATGGGTAAGTGACAAGGATGAAAAAAAGAGCACTACTAGATTTCTTTTCTGTCTATGAGATGTAGCTTTCACTTAGAGTTCAAAGAAACAACCTATTGTCATTCTCTCAACTTGTGAAGTTGAATACGTTGCTATAACTTTATGCGTCTATCATGCACTCTAGTCGAGGAGTCTATTTAAGGAGATTTGGGATGGTACAGGAAGAACCAATAGAGACTTACATCGATAACAAGTCAATAATAATATTCGTTAAAAATCTAGTATTTTATGAACACAAAAAGCATATTGACACACATTATCATTTTATTCAAGAGTGCATTGCAAGAAATGAAGTGCATGTGAAGTTCACGAAATGCGAAGATCAAGTTACGGACATTCTCATGAAACCACCGAAGCAAGAAGTATTCTATAGATTACGAAGTTTAAATCAAGTTTAAGGGGGCATGTTAGAAATCAAACTTAATTTAGTCTATAATTAGTCCAACCCAAAACCCAACTTCTAGATAATCTACCGATCAAATAATCTAGACAATTCTACAATATTATCCTACTAAACATGGCTAGATTTTTTAGGCATTAAATCACCTTTAAATGCCCATCACAAATTAGTATTAGTGGCCTAAAAAATCTATATCCTATATGTTTCCTATTCGACCTAGAGATGTATAAATAGGCTTAAAGTCTTATAACGTGAATGAGGAAAAAATAAAGAAAAACAAATAAGAGAGAGTGGAGTGTTAGGGCCTATTGTCGTATGTGAAGATAAAAAAATGAAAAGTGATTTTGTGTATGTCAAATAAAATAATAAGCGTGTGAGTGAGTTGTGAGTGCTTGGTGAGTTGTACTACAAAATTGTTATGATAAATTATTTGTTTCCTAAAATTCTTGTTGTTTCAATTTGATCTACCACACATTTCATTTTGCTAAATTCCTCTTTCTCCATCAAGAAGGAGATACCAAAGTTCTCATTGATGCGTTGAATGCTAGCAATTTCTTTAATTCGATCGGCGACTCACTCGTCGCTCAAGGACGTTACATCCATGGTTTTAAATAGCGATAGTTACGTAACGTAACTGGTCGTTATATAACGGTATCGGGGCATTCCATTATCGTTATTCGACGTTATTTATACTACAAAGCCGTTTCACAAGAATAACATCAAATAACGGCGTTGCTTGTTATATAACGGTGTTATACATAAAAAAATCGGACTCCATAAAAAAAAAAATTCAAAACTATGCCCTAATTAATCACCAACCCAAATGAAGAATGCAAAAGATTTTACATTCTAGTATACTTCCACTTCTAAATCATGTTCAAGAAAACAACCTAGAAGAATCTATTAGAAATCTTTCGATCTTTATATCAATTCGTAAGTCTTCTCCCCATTGCTCGAGATTGGTCCCCTCCTTCGTTATTTGTCCAGCTACTCGGTCAATGAAGATGGAAAGGTAGCGAAATAACCCTAAGGTTCGATAAGAGAGCGAGAGAGACATAGATGAAAAAAAGAAAGATTTGCAGCAGAGATAAAGAGAAGAGGAGAGAGAGAGGGGGAAAAAAGCCGTGAAATGGAAATGTATGTAAATGTAGAGGAATGTAAGGCTTTAGTTGAACAAACTTTAAATTAGTCTCTTTAGTTTGAAAAACTAGTTTAGTTAGTCCTTCTTGTTTCAAATAACAATTATTTAGTCCATTTTATGTTATTTTCTATTTTTTCTTTATATTTTAAAGAACGGAAGAAAATAAATTTATATCATAAAAATATTGATGGAAAAAACATTTTATGAAAGAAAATAACATTACATTAAACATGATCAATATTCATCAAAAGATTATATTATTTAGTTTTCAAAAAATAATTAATTAATTTATCCAAACTAAAAGAACTAATTTATAATTTATTCAATTAGAGTCCGCATTTGTATAGATCTTTGATTTCATGCGAGCAATTGAAATTTGGTTTAATAATAAGGAGTAAATTACACATTAGTCTCTTTAGTTTGGATAAATGAATTAATTGATCCTCCTTGTTTCAAAAACTAATTAATTAGTTTTTTTGTTCATTTTATGTTATTTTTAAATTTGTTTTCCTTTTTGTTTTAAAAATAAATAAATAAATTTATATCATGAAAAAATTGATGGAAAAAAAATATTTTATGGAATAAAATAATATTACATTAAATATGGTCACCACTAATCAAAAGATTAAATAATTAATTTATTATTTTTTGTGTTATATAATCTATTAGAAGTGTTATTAACTTTTTTTTTTATAATAAATTTAACTATTTTTGTATAATATTAAACTATTAAAGATGTCATTACTTATTAGTATGTTTAATTGGTAAAATTGTTAAAAACATATGAATTAGAATAAATTTATTAATAATTGTTAATGTATTTACGATATCGATTGTCACGATTGTTATTTTACTACCGTTATAAGTCGTGACTCGTAATCGTGATCATTTTTTTAATTGCGATCGTTATTTAAAACTATGGTTAGATTTCTCAATTCCTCACTTCCTCATTCAACAGTTGTAATTTTTCTATTGTTAAATGTTGTGATAACTGGGCACGCCATAGGATGGCTAAGCAAGCTCTATTAGAGAGAATGTCTCCTACTTTTAATGTATCTCCAGAATGGTTCGAATTTGATGCTGTAAAAGACCATTTTTTTCTATTCGTAAGCAATACAAGCAGTGGAATTGCTATCTTTGGCCAATAAAATAAAATAAATAAATGGGATAATCATTAAAGAAAAAGTTTCTTTGATAGCTAGGGACCATGACTTCGATTTTCTATTGACATAATTATTATTATTATTCCAAATTAAAACCTCGCCCTGCAATATAAAACGATATCAGCTTAATAGGTTTTGTTATATTATCATCAGACACTTTGTTCGATCTCTTGATGGGAAATTTCACATTGAAGAATTGAGTTGGGACCGGGTTTAATTTCCTAGAAACCTTAACAGATGTTTATAATTGTCTTTCTATTTGTGGTTGCAGAATGTTTGAGCCTCAGCTGTCAAACCTTTTCACATGCAAAGCAGTGCTCTGGGTGGTCATTTGTACTGGCTACTTGAAATGGTGTGTGGATGGGTCTGTACTCCAGCAAATACAAGTGGAGTTCTCAGGAACAATGAAGGCACTTCATGCGTATTTTCCAAGAGCCAGCAGGTGTGATCAAATCAAACCGAGGCAGAAATTCGTGCTTTTCTTACAGAACTTGAAATTAGTTCAAGCAAAACCATGGTTGCCAACACCAATTATCATGCAGTCAATATTCAAAACAATAGCTATTTGGAAAACACTTGTACAACATTTTCAGAAATGCTAGGACTAATGAAGCCAAATGGGCAGAAAATAAACAACATGACTTGACCTTCATGCTGAGATTATCCAGCAAACTAAAAGTTTTGAGACGGTAGAATGGAGCTAAAGCTTACAATTAGTAGCAGCTGCGATTATCCATCAACTATTTTTTATAGGTTCTGCCTCTTTGCGTCTATGCCAAGTTGTTTGGCAAATGGAACATTAGAAATTCCATCAATCAGGCTGTTCTCTCATATTATCATCAAATGCTTTTTGGGCTCTCTGAAGGATCATCTGTACCATTGCGACCACCATCTGTTGAAGCTTGATCATTGGGAGCATCATCATTCTGTTCTCCTCCTCTTTGCTGACGTCTCACATTCTTGGGTTTATTTTCTTTCTTTTCGAAAACCCTGCATAAAACAGTACTCTGCGTCTCAAGAAAACCGGAGGAACTAGTCAGGTCATAACTATACAAACAGTGTACTAGTAATTCATTAATTGCTGGGAATTAATGGCATAGCGAGAAGTTAATATGAATTAACGTACATCTTCATCTTTCAAACTAAACTCGTGCATTCTCCAGTTGGTTTTCTCCTCAGTACATCCTTTCTTTTTAGCGTAGAAGGTGAAAGTCCTCCTATATCCAATGACATGAATCCCGTCTCTAATGTCCTTCCTATATGAACCATGCTGCCAGTACCCATCACCACCACTGACCAATCGGTTTACTTTATTTCCAGGCCTTTTATTCACTTTAGTGAAAAAGTACCATTCGTTATTTCCACCTGAGAACTTTGTATATGCAGAATCCTTATAGTCCGCTGTTCATCAACCAAGAGACAAAGTTGTTAAAAGTTCATTAATTGACCCGTGCGTCAAAGAAAACAGAATTAAAAAGAGAATTTAGTTTTCCCCTGAAATCATTGTTAACCAACATTCAAGATCGTTGTAGAATGAATCAATCTGAACTCCATCCAATAACAATCAAAGTACAAGAATTGAAAATTAGGAAAACTAGAAAAGAAAGGACTGACATGAAAATAAAAGAGAGGGTTTGTATCAAATTAAGAACCTGCAAGAATTTCAGGACTTTTTTCGTATAAATCAACCTCCTCAAACTTATTCGTAGGCAAATTTTTTTTGTCTATTCTCTTCTTTAAGTAATTCACCATCAGCTCTTCATCAGTGGGATCAAAGTGTACAGCAGGAACTGATGTAGTAGTAACAGTTCTTGGGGGTTGTAATGATATATTGGTAGAGGGTGATGCCTTGAAATTCTCTGTTCATCAAAGAAACAAGAGAACAGAATAAAGAAGATGATTTTATGTCAAAAAGTGTCAACCACGCAAACAAGATCATCAAAAACTTAATCCGATTGACTAAAAATAAAAAAAAATATAAATATAAACTCAATTTAATTAATTTATACTTGCACATCAAAGAAACAAGAAAACAGAATAAAAAAGTTGATTTTATGGGGAGAAGCGTCAACCATGCATGCAAGATTATAAAAATAATTAAACAATACACAATTCGATTTAATTTGATAAATAATAATAATAAAAAAGATTTAGAAAGAAAAAGAAAGAAAGGGTTTGTGTCAACTAAAACCTGAAAGGTTCTCAGGGTCTGCATCAAAGAATTCCTTGATAGCCAAGAGAAGGTCATTGTGTTTCTGGGACAATTGAAGATCACCACTACCAAGAACCGATGAAGTAGCTGCAGCAAGAGTCGTTGGTGATGACGGTGAAGCATTGATAGACGGTACTGACGAAGAAGAAGGTGCTGACGACATTGAATTTGAAATGTGGGGTTGTGATGGTGGTGGCGGTGTTTGCTTGTAAGGATTAATGTTGGAAGGGATTGGCTCCTCCATTGTTGAATTCTTTGAAGAAAGGCGGTTCGTTTCTTGAGGATTAGACATTGTTGGCTAAAACGAATAACAAGCTCTCTCTATCTCTCTCTCGTTCTCTCTGATAGCGTCCTAAACAGAAATGCAAGTGCAGGCATGAGGTGTATATATACATACAGTCATACAGTTACCGGTAAACACTAGCTAGTACTCTATACCTTGGTTGCTGGTTTTTGGACTGATCACCAACGACTTATTTGTTTCAATTAGTGCCAGACCGCTTCAGGAAAAGTAATCCAAACCCATGACACATCTGTTAATTAACAAAAATGATTAACCACGCATATATAATTAATTAGGTGTTACATATGTTTAACTCAAGCAACCCCAACCCCCACCCCCAAAACCAAAACCAAAACCAAACCAACATATATATAGAATTAGATGAATATTAAGCTGTCAAAGAAACTTTGATTGGACAAAGCACATATACGGAAAAAAATATTGGTAGCGATGAAAGTTGGGGAGCTGGAATATTACCAGTTTTAGTTGAGGAGCTAGGGTCTTGATGATGGACAATATTCTTGACAGTATTCCCATTATCGAACAAGTTGCAGGCTTGGACGTCCCTAGCCATTCTGAATCTGATTCTGAACTGAATACTCTGCTCCTGCTGTAGTTGCCGCTGATACATTTCTCTGGGTGTTTGTTGCTCTCTTTCTTTTGTCAACACATTGACTGAAGAGGTGACTGAATATACATGCACCAAAGGTCCCTCCTTTAAAAGGAAAAAAAGGTAAACTGACTTGCAGGAAATAGATAAAGCTCCCTCCTTGAAAGAAAGGAAAATATAGGAGTGTTGGAATTTTACAGGTTGAGAGTTGAAACCTCCCTCTCTTATGGGATGGGTCAGCTAGGAATTCCTTAGAATGTTTAGGTTTCCTTGACCATGCACTTTTTTTCTTAATCCAAAATGGTACGTAGTCATTAATTGGCGAGAGAGTAGAATAATTTCTTAAGTCAGAAAAGATTTCAAATACCAGCTCAAAAAAAAAAAAAAGTATCATTAAATATAATGAGATTCACCAAATGAAATCCACTGATTTCCAATCTGGAGAGCTGTGAAATAATTAATAGCATACAGTTACTCCCACACTCAACTAGAAAGTATCAACAATCAAACCCTAGCTGCATATATTGCTCATACAAACACTCCGTTAATAGTATGCAAAGATCAACACTCTTTCAAACAACCAACTTCCCATAAAAATTCACCAAATATAGAATTAAAACTCTTTCAATGGTATGCAAAGATCATATTTCCAAAATAACAGCAAGAGGTATCAAGATATACTGCCTTCTATTCTAGTTTCACTAGGCGAGTTATGCAGACATCTCATCACCATTGGATAAGTCATTTTTATCCCTATAGCTCCACTCTAGCCACCATATCCTCACATGTATAAGCTTGATGAGAAATGCAACTATCGTGCTAGAGCAGTATCACATAATATTGAGAATTGAATGACTTTTAAGATAAAAGTAAGATTGACAAACAATTCTTGAGCATCAATCAAATCAACTAAAACAATCAAATCAAAAATCGATGATCTGTTACAGTTTAGATTCAGTTTCATTAGTAACAATATAGTAGAAGAAAAATTGAGCTTCAAAAGTATAGCCTATATTTCTCGTAGGTAAAAAAAATAAACCTATTCAATCAATTTTATTTGTATATTTCAAGAATAGCATTCAAAAGTATACAAGCGCACTTCAATCACTCCAAAGCTTCAAGTGTTTCTTGAGATATAGAAAAATATCCAATTAACTTACCCAAAACAGTTTGTATATTTAAAATCTTTCGATCAAATCACTTGTGAGAAGTTCATTTCTTCGATCTTGTTATAAAAAATTAACTCACTCAAAATGATTTTTATATTTAATTTCTTTCAATCGGATCACTTCGAGAAATTTACTTTTTTGGATTTTGTTTTTAAAATTAAATCATCCAAAGGGATTCGTATATTTATCATTTTTGATCGGATCATTCATGAGAGGTTCGTTTTTTGATCTAGTTTTAAAAAATTAAAGGTTTATTATACCAAAAAATCTAAACTTTATGTTTTTTAATCATATTAAAATATTCTTTCAATATTAGGCAGAAAAGACATAAAGTTCTTTCAACGTGGGACATAAAAGACATAATGAAGTGGCTGAAGGAGGAGAATTGGGAATGAAGGTTCGTTGGATGAGAGCTTGTGGCTGGAGAGGTTTTTTTTTTCAAGAAGATGGAGGCTTTCGAGATAATGGGTGGCCTTAAGGAGGTCGGCAGTTAGAGGGAAGTTTTGGAGAGGATAATTGTGAAATATACCACATGAAATTCTACTTAGGCATTTAATTCTTGTCATCACTCTATCTCTCTACCATCTCAGTTCATAATAAAATTTTGATCGAAAAAATTTTTGTGTGCTAATATTTTTATCAAAAGCTTAGTTTATGTCTTTTTTGTCAAACATTGAAGAACATGATAATATGATTAAAATTAAATTATAAAGTTTGTGATTTTTTTGATAAATATGTTTAAATTAAATCACCCAAAATGTTTCGTAAATTTAATTTCTTTTGATTGAATCACCGATGAGAAGTTTGTTTCTTCGATTTGTGTTTTAAATATTAGATCACTCAAAATACTTTGTATATTTAATTTCTTTCGATCGGATCACCCATGAGAGTTTTATTTCTTTTTGATCTTGTTTTGTAAAAATTAAATCACCTAAAATGATTTGTATATTCAAGCTCTTTTGATTCGTTTCATCGATCTTATTTTTCAAAATAAAATCACTCAAAATAGTTCGTATATTTAAGTTTTTTTTTATTGAATCACGTTTGAGAGGTTCACATTTTTAATATTGTTTTCAAAAACTAAATCACCCAAAACAGTTTGTATGTTTGACTCTTTTATTCATGGTCAAATCACAAACTCTTAGGTGACAAGTTGCTTGAAACAACTGACCATTACTGAGGTAAGTCGTCTAATAACAAACCATCATGAATCATGTTGTCTAACGATAAACCATCATGAGACAGGTTGCCTATATGATAATATACCCTGGTCTTAAAGAACGCACGATTTTACTTTGATCACTACTGTTGGGGCTGGTCCCCGTTGATCTGGACGAGGATTGTAGGATCCAATTTTGTGCCGATTCCCCGTTGTTTCCTATAATAAAAGATTTCGAGACAAGGTTTCATTAGTTTTCGATTTATCCATCTAAAACTAAGGCAAATTTCCCGGAGGACACCAAGGGTTGTACGTTCCATGTAACCATGAGGCCAAGGACAGAAATGGCAAACAGCGAACTTACCAAACCAACCAACCAGGGTGCTTTCTGATGATTATGGTATAGAGCAAAGATTCATAGAGGTGCTGGCTTTTAGGCCAAGGCCAAAATCTAAGGTAGTCTGTGTTATTACCTTGAAAAGGTGTTGGTTTAAATATGCGATTATCTGTATTCCTTCATTCTTAACTTCTGTGACTAGTAAATTCATTCCACAAATTTGGTGTGATGAAAAATGTATTATCCTTTTGGTTCAAAGCCATGCAATCATATTTATGATCTGTTTTTACCCTCTTTTTTTTTTTTTTTAATTACATCTGTTGATTTTTTATTCCATGATAGCATAGAAGCCCTTCACCGCTAACTAAAATAGAGACTGATAGCTTGGCTGCGAGTGAAGTAGCAAGATCACAGGATCTAGTTGCATGGACTTAGTGCTGTGCTTTTGTTTCTCACTGTTGTGCTTGACTTTTATTCTGTCTCGTTTGATCAAGGTGTATTCCATCTCTGATCAGATACCTTCACCATTGTCTTAATAGTAATGTTCTTATGAGAGTGTGCAAACTTTCTCTAATGTTAATCCATTCTTCGTTGTTTCTTATAAAAAACAGAAAAAATAAAATGAATAGTATCAGAAGAGGTTTCAGTTTCTTTCTTGATTTATGGAGAAGCTCGTAACTTGTGGCTGCTTTAGGTCTTAATTTCTCTTGACTTTGAAGCTTTGGCTAGATTAGATTCCGATTTCTTTGAAACAATTGAAATTGTCAAAATGACTTCACTAATAAATTAGCTAGTAATCACAACAGGTTTCAAATTTATACTCTCTTTCAAAAGTTATCAAAACCTATTACATTTTTTTGTGCTTTTGGCGTTTCGCTTAGGGCTGAATACGATGATTAACTTGCTCCTTTCATTCATCAACCAAGTTTTCAATTGTGTCGTAGACTGATCATGTTCTGTCTTTTCTTTTTTTTTTCTCTGTGAAAAACAGATATTTATCATCTTGTATTCTTCTCTCACTTCAATGAAAGGATATGATACATCAAGTTGCTACCTGAAATGCCTTTATTTTATGATTGCTTTCCGCAGCTAATTGGCGTAAATAGACAGTTTGGTTTAATACTTAACAAATTTGTGTAATACATGGCACTATAGTCCATTTTGAGCCCCAGAAATCTAGCAGCCTGTGAATAGACTCGCCAGAATGTCTATATACACATACATAGGGTGTTCCCTTTTAACATAATTAATCAATCAGCGAGGCCTGATGACAGGAAAGACACCACTGACTAGATCACTTCCAAGGAAACCAGAGGACGCAGAAGGTTTCTCTGTGGTATAGAGAGCTGGCGATTCTACCCCTGACATTCCAGAAGGCTCAAACTCTGATGAAATGGGACCAGATGCTTGCAGCATAAAGGATATGTTCTCCAATTCGCGAACCACTTCCAACATTGATGGTCTTTCCTCGGGCTCATCTTGACAGCACTTGAGGGCCAAGTCCATGAATTTCTTGACACAATCAGAGGGATAAGGACCCATTTTTGGGTCTACGATGGAGAACATTATCCCAGATTGACACGCTGCATTAACCTGTCATTGACAAATATAAGACAAGGCATTAGATTCTGATGAAGAAGAGAAGAGTGCAAATTCAACATTGGAATCATGCCCTGCATATTTAAGTGTTGTATGATATCATTGCAAACTTTTGGCTTTATGGGGCAAACTAATTATGGATCATTATAAAGGAATACGTTCGAAGGAGTTAAGGAAATTGGTTGCATGTTTCAGGTATGGTAGCACAGAACAAGTAATGATTTGCCCTCTGATGTTGGTGATTGAGCATAAGCGAACTATGTTATAGCTGAGAAAAAAATGCTAAGATTTTCACCTCCGAGTCTAAAATTAAAAGTAACTTCAAATAGTTCTATTTCAATGAAACTAGCCAGTCGGAACTGGGAAATATAATTAAATTATTGAAAGAATTCCAGATTATCAATCATGAAAATAACTTTATAAGCTTCTTTCCTATGCAAGACCTTTACACACAGTTACTGATAGATACAGATGTAATGCCAGTCTGATGTTCATGCAACAATAATTGATCAATACTATATTAATGGTGCTCAATATTATCATGAATCAAATTTTCAGAGTTTCAAAACAATAAATTAACTGATGGTATGTATGGTGAACCATTATGTATTATGTACCTCTCGAACGATATATTTTCCATGAGATATAGGTGCCATCCCAGTTAAGAGTTCAAGAAATACAACTCCAAGGCTATAAACATCACTCTTATCTGTCAACTTGTTAGTCAGGAAATATTCTGGATCGAGGTAGCCCTGCATGGAGTCCAGGTTCAAGTGAGTTCAGCGCAATCCAACATCAGATGGATATATATCAAAAAGTAGCAGAAATATCTGATTGCTATCCAAACTTCTTTCAACCAAATGATCACCATAAAACCAGTCAAAAATATTAAGTAGGACAGTATTCAATTATCAGCATTTACTGTCAACATAGACATACAAGGTAAGATTGTATGAAACAAACAGTTTGATATGTTGCTCATTAACATATACAATACCCAAAAAATTTGATATTTTGCTTTCCTTTGATGTACAGGCCATTGGTGAACTATATAGACTTGTGTTGAACTTTCGAAACATGGATTTCATTGCTCAAGATTGATGCACTAATCTCAAAGGGACATGCTATATTATGCTATTAGACTAAGCTTCAGGTATCATCTAGCCATTATAGAGAGTTCCAAGACAGTGGGGAATTGGGAAGCATAAAATGTGTATGATTTCTGGTCCATTAAAAAACATGCTTTGTATTGCTGACATTAGAAGTATGAGTATGGTATTGTAATTATAGATAAAAGAGATAACATCCTTCAAAAAGAGTTTCAGAATCAACAACTCAATTTCATCATGTTATAGAATGCTAAATACCGGTGTGCCTTTCACAATTGTGGATATATGAGATGCAACTCCTTCACAATCTTGCACTGGTGCAAGCTTTGAGATTCCAAAATCTGAAACTTTTGCAGTAAACTTGAAGTCCAGTAATATGTTGTTTGCTTTGATATCTCGATGGAATATAGGTGGCTCAGCTTCAGTATGAAGGTAGAGTATACCCCTGGCTGAACCCAAAGCAATATTCATCCTCATAGAAAAACTCGCAGGTCTTTTGAATTTACCTGTCATATTGCACATCAACAATGTCAAATATGACTGTACGCAAGAAGAACGGAGCAGTCGAGCTTCTACACCATGGATTTTGTTTCTCTTTTTCCCAACAATCCTTCTTAAAAAAAATTAAAAAAAAAGAAGCAAAATAAAGAAATAAATGAGGATAGAAAAAGAACAATAATTATGACACTGGAGGCCTTCCTGAGCTATGCCTCGTAGGGTTGAAATCTAAGACTTGAACCATGTTACACCCTCAGAGCGACATCTAGCCACATCCTACTCCTTCTAATGCTATAGCTACCACCACTTCCTATTCTTTTTATATCCTCCGTGTAAATTTATTGAATTCTTGTATAATTTACAAGAGAATGAAGAAAAAAAGAGACATGAACACAAGGATACAGTAAAATCTTCTCTGTGCAAATCCACAAAATTTTATTCGAATTGTAAGGAAAAGAAGAAGAAGAAGAATCTAAAGCAATCCATCACAAGTTGCATAATTAAAAAATGTTCACCAGAGAGGAGGTTTCCAAGGGAACCATTAGGCATGAATTCATACACTAGCATCTGCAAAAGGGACAAAATGCAAGATGTTAAGTTGTTGATTTTGAAGTAGATATTAGGCTTTACAGCAATCCATTTTGACAAGAAGCCGCCAGAATTTTCAAAAGAAACAAAGAGAAAGCAGAAAGAGCCTAGAATGACATTTCAAATGGCATGCTGATTTGGATGTTTCCAACAACATTTAAGTGTTTGGAAGCTCAGATGATTCTCAGTCACAGTCATCCAATAATCATATCACAAGGACATGTACGTGCCAAATATTTTTACTCATACCATACCTGCTCGCCTTGTTCATCACAATACCCAACCAATGACACCAAGTTGCGATGATGCAAGCGTGACAATAGTTCTATTTCAGTGAAGAACTCTTTCTGACCCTGCAAGGAGCATTCATGTGCACGCTTGATGGCCACTATTGTACCATCAGCTAAGATGCCTTTATAGACCTTTCCATAGCCTCCTTCCCCAATTTTAGTGCCGATATTAAAACCGTTTGTTGCCATCTCAAGTTCCAGAAAACTGAACTCTTTCACACTTTCAGTTTTAATTGGAAGTTTCGAAGCTGCATGGTTAAAAATAGCATCAACCCTCCTTAATGGAGAAAAGTGGAAAGCATACGTCGTGACAAGATAAATGGCTTACTTGTCTTTTTTTGGAAAATTGGCGATAGAATCTCTCATGCTTTTTATAGAAAACAGCTGCAATGAGCAAAAATATTGCAACTAGGAAGGACATGGCTCCCAACACAATTCCGAGAAGGGCACCTCTGCTCATTCCCGATTTTGGAGGCTTAAGAACCACTGACATTTCAAAACAATAAAAGCACTAAGTTCTGCATGCAATTTGTAATGTGAAGCAAAACTCTAACACCTCCCCTGATATTCCCAGGCAAAAATAAAATGGAATTAGAAGAGAGAAAAAAAATAGAAAAAGATTTTATTTCTTTGTCCATCCATTTGATCAAATGAAGAACTAGTTGTAGTATAGAAGTGAGAAGTGGAGGGAGAAGCAGCAATTCTAGTCAGACACTACTAATAGCTTACTGCAGTTTCACTTTATGATGAAAAGGTAAATATGGAATTAGTGTTTGAAGTGAAAAACATGCAGCTCCAGAGGCATACCATTTGCATAAGGTCCAAGGAGCGTGAAATTGAGTAAATCATATGGGCCAAATGTATCGTCGCCAGGAATGGAAAATGTAGCAAACTGGTCTGTGAGCTGTAGAATCTCACTTGTGCTGAATTTTGAAGTAACATTACTATAAGAAGGAAAGATTTTTAAATACATCCTTAACCGTGGACCTTCTTGCCATATGAATGAATCGATCACTAGTTGGTAACGATTCAAATCAAGATTGGAGGTTATCCAAAGCTCAAATTGGAAAATATATGGTCGAAAATCTGATATACTGGGACTTCTCAAGCGTAGTCCAATTCCAAGAGGTGCAGCACAGAAGCAGCTAACAGGAGATTCTGGAACGTATTCAAAATTATCATCAGTGGGACAAGATTGAGCTTTGCAGTCTTCAGTTGAGTTATTCGAGCTTCCAGGAGCCTCGGTATCTCTGGTCTGGCCTCCACAGAACTGGACTATGTTTAGCTCATTTGCTCTTTGACAAACAGGATTGCCTCGAAGCCTATATATCCAGATTTTACAACTCTTAAAACTATTTGCTACTCTTAATTTAGATAATCTTATTATCTGTACTATATATGCAAGACACTGTCATGGAATATTTCACAATGGTAAGAGACATCATTATGCCAACATAGTCCAGTAAAAGAAAAATCAAAACAAAATTCTTAAAGCATGTGATTTAGGGATAGAACGATAAACATGATTAGTGGTGTAAGTAACTATATCTTATCTAAAAATTATATAAATTGCATTAGTAGAAAGAAGAAAAAACCATAACCTAAAAAGATAGGAGGTGAGGGAAGGGATTCACGCACATAACAGCAGGCACAGTGCAACACAACGATTCTGTATATTACAGAAGGTCCCTAGCAAGAATTTACATAGCACTGCAAAATATCATATAATTTCTGAAATCCAAATCCTAATTCAAAATTATAAAGCATGATAACTGTTTTCTTATGATGATATCACATTGGCTAACCAAATAGTCATCAAGTTTAAACTGTATTCCAGCATTATATGACTCCTAAGTGCTACGACAAACCTTATTGCTGTATATAAAAATTTTAAAGATCTTCCACCCGAACTGGAATTTAGATCCAACAAGGCCAGGAAACTTACCATGTTTAACAACTTGATGATGGACTGGTTTTTTACTTGGCATAGTACTGATAGAAATTTTTGTCTAAGATAGTTCAGCAAAGTACAACCATGACTTACGAATGCACTAATGTGAAGGAGGAACTTGGTTTAATGAGTGGAAGCAGTGAGAGGAGGCATGACTTCTTCAGATCTAACGCAGCTAATTGCAAATTTTTTTTTAAAAAAAAAGGGTACTTCACAATCAGATGATCAAGACATGGTCTTTATCTCATTTAGATTAAAGATAAAGATATCAAACACTATAAAACACGGTTTTGTCAGAAATTAAAAAACAAGCATAAAAAGAGCCCGGATGCAGTAACATTATGAGAAGTGAAAAAGCAACTTATGTGCCAGAATGTGAAAATGTTATACGGTGAAACAAAGCTCACCTGACGCTAATGTTTGCAGGAGGATTTATGATGCCTGAAATATTTGAAAGTGAATTGTTCCGGAAATCCCTGCAAGTATGGTACAGTATACAAGTTTAGGTAGAAGGTACAGAAGTATGCAGGCCACGCAGTTCATCATTGTGCCTGATGCAATTTACCCCAAAAGCAATATAAATTGATACAACAAAAGAATATGCCATTGTCAATATCTAAGAAAAGTAGACTGACAAATTAAGTCAGAAAAAATTGCTTTCTGCTATTCAGTCTTACAAGATAAGTCTTGCAGCTGAACCAAGAGTCAAATTCTGCCAAATGTTAGTGGGAACATCACCACTCAGCTTGTTGTTCTTAAGTAACCTGCAGTAAAATACAAGCTTCATTATCTACTGGTATTATCAATCATCTATAGAAAGATAAAGAGTCAAAGATCTTCAAAATGTATGACAATTTTAACCACATTAGCACAGTGCAAATGAAATAACAGAAAGTGAATAAATAAATGCAGAGTGGTCTTACAGTCTTTGGAGATGAGGGAAGCCCGAAAAATATGAGGGGATTGATCCAGTAAGCATATTGTTGGATAAATTACTGCGACGTTCAGAAATGGTGAATTAATTTTGTAATGTCAGAAGAAAGATCACTATATTGACAGCAGCAGCAAGGAGTTTGAAGTTTACAATGAGACTCAAATGCATGAATACATAATAATATAAATTAAACAATAACAATACTAGAGTTGGAGACAAATCCAGTGGTTATTTCTGCTGTCACGACACAAGACTTGGGATCGGACCCCCTTTCATCGTGTACAATCTGTTCAAGCATCATGTGCTAGTCTTAAACCAGTAAATTATCCTTTCTTTTGCTGCTAACTTTAGACATTGATGCTATTTCGTTTTTGAACTTCCATTGATGCTATTGAAGGTAAGGAAATAATAAATTCATTAAGTCCTAATGTTCTATTTCAAAATTCTTTGTGGCCGATCCCTGTTGTTATCTTTTGTAGAAATAATTACCATATGCCAGATCAAAGAGTCAAAAATAAATAAATAAATTTAATAACACAGAGCAATTAAAAATGACAACTAAATTTAGCAGCAAAATCTCTGCTGTTCCTGGGCCAAATAAATACTAGCATGTATATGGTTTTGTATGCATGTCAACAAGCATAGTACATAAAATGTAACGACGTCTCAAGCTGAAAACAACTGAAACTTCCGCAAGTTTGGACTTCAATAACTTACATAGTTGTGATATTATCAGAAAGCTTATTTGTTGGGATGCTTCCAGTTAATTTATTTGAGCTCAGATCCCTGTAAGAAAATTAGTAATAGACAACAGAGAAAATCAACTTTCTAAAACAAATCCTACTTAATTTGGAAAAAACATCATTTTAAGACAACTTCTCTACCTAGACATGAATATTCGCATATAAAGAATAACAACAGTCCTAAAGGAGGACCATGGCTGGTGGTTTAGAAAATATGACTAATTTTGCCACGAATCGATACAAGCAGCAGTACATGGGAACTAGGAAAAATACATGCTTGAAGAATTTGTGAAAGATAATGATGGCTAAATGAAATTCTCCACATTGCTCGAAGACTTACAAGTAGAGAAGGCCTGGTATGTCGCTCAGATCGGGAACAAATCCTTGCAAGTTGCAGTTCCTAAGACTCCTGCAGAGTTCAATGTGACAATTTTAAGTAAAAAAACCAGTTTTAAAGCACAGATAGTTCAATAAAAACAAGCAAGATCATTTTCCTAGATAATGAAATCAAATTTATTAGACAGAAGACCAAAATGCAACTCTATGCATGAGTGACAGATCCCTGTATGCTTTTCCAGCATTGAAATAGCATTTTTAAGACATGCATCATCATGAATGAATTAAAAATCCAAGGGATTGAGAGAAGCTTACATTTTCAACAGTTTGGACATGTTGCCATAAGAAGCTGGGATCTCTGTTCCATTGAAGTTGTTGTTATCAAGTTGGCTGCAAAGATTTGGTTTCAGTCATGCTTCAATGTTAGAAGGGCTTCCCTACTTTCCACTAATTTTCATAATCCATTTGAGGCGAAAAATCCATCAGAAAGAGGATCACAAAACCAGAAATTGAAGCCTTTTAATCAACCTATTGCATATTAAGAGATTAATATGTTCACAGCTATTGCATTGTACTGAAAGATAACATTACCAGAATTGGTTTTTAACCAATAAGAGCAGAAGCTTTTGATATGCCGTGGAAGCAAGAAAGATGTTTTATGGCTATTACTTACCATTTCATGATTCTAATGTGTGCTATTTCGATATTTTCAAATTTACTGCTAAGTTTGTACAGGAGCAAAAAGTGCTGCTGTTGTAGGACAGCATTTAGAAGGAGATTGAACTTACAAAACCGTCAGCTTTGGCATATTTGAAAGCTCTTGTGGAAGATAGCCTGACAAGTTGTTATTATCCAACAGGCTGCAAATGTTGGAAACAGCAAGTGAAAAAACATGACAGCAAAATTAGGTCCATTTGCTTCAAATTAACAGCAGTAGCTTCATTAAGACAGAGTAATTCAACCACATTATGCAAATTGTTAGGGACTTACAAGTGTATGAGTTTAGGTAATGCTCCAAGTTCTGGTGGAATCTGACCACTGATTGAGTTGTTGTTCATATGACTGCAGTTAGAAACATCCATGAGTACATGCCAGAAGGGGAAGAATTTGGCCCTAAAGAAGCCACTTACAAGTGCTTGACATTGCTCAAGTTTGCAAATGATCTCGGCAGTGGTCCTGATATTTGATTTAGATCCAGCTGAAATTTGGTTATGTTAGGAAGATTACCAAGCTCATCTGGTAAAGGACCTGATATTTGGTTTCCACTCAAAAGCCTGCAAATAGAGGATGGTATAGTGACTATATGCTTCTTCAGATTACCATGCAGTGATCCTTAATTATCTAGACTACTGATATTCACGAGGAGATTTCCTGTTTTGCAATTTCACAAAGCAGAAGCTTGACCAATTTTGGTAGGATGGATGTAATACCTAAGGAAAGAATGAAGATCACCTTTTCCTTCCATTCTCACATTTTCAATTAGATTAGGAGATAAGACATGAACTGGATGAGTTTTCCTATTTCACCCTCCATCTAAACCTTTCCTCTCCTCTGTCCTTCCAAATAAACAAACAGAAAGAAATGAATTCTGTTCCATCCTTCCTTTCCACCGAATCTGTCCTCTATCTCCCACCCTTCCAAGTGTAATATGGAAAGTTTACTTTTTCAAGGATCAAACAACTAGCAAGTAGAAAATTGTTTCCTAACACTTGCTTTAAAAGATACATAACATGCAGCAAAGACAAATTTTTAACTCTAAATATTTGAACTTACAGGAGCTGCAAGGAAGTCATTTTCCCTATCTCTTTTGGTATGCTACCACTTATATTATTCCACATAAAATTCCTGAAAAAGAGAAACAAATTCAAAGGATTGAGAGTTTTAGTAACGAGGATGGTGATTAAATGAAAGATGATCATTCGATTTATTGGTATGTTCATATGATCTGACTCACAATCTTTTTGTATATGATAAAAGACCAAATTCAGGAGCTAAGGTTCCCGAGAGATTCAAACGAAGCATACGCCTGCCAGAATGAAAGAAATCAAAATATTACACGATCTTATTGAGATTGAATCTCTTTGTATTAAATGAGAAATTCAATTTCCTCTATAAGGATCCAAAGTCAAACATATTTCCAACAAAAACCAAGGAGAAGTACTCTCATATGTCTTAAATTCTTAGTCTACAAAATTAAAACAATAGAAAATTGCAAATATGAAAGTATAATCAACATACAATTCTTGGACATGAAGGTAACCATCATTTTGATCCAAGGTGCAGATTACTCCTGTCCATTTCGATACACAAGGATCACCCTTTTTCCAGCCATAAAGATTCTTTTGACTGTCCCTGAGCTTACGACGGACTGCTAGCAAAGCACTGACTGGAACACAGCGGAAAGAATCATTCCAAAGAAACAATAATAACACTAATTAAGAAACATAATTTACCATACACATGCTTATAAGGTGCAAGTTAATCTATGGATAAAGAGGAAAGGACCTTCCGATGGATGAGTTTTCTGTGCTGAAGAAAGCAGAATAAAGCAACATTGTAGCAAAGCAACTAGGACTGCAAATAGACAGAATCTTAGCCTCGCCATCTGTTGAAATCAAATCCAATATGATCAGCATGCAAGAAAGAAACATAAAAAGAACGAAGCAAATTGTCATAATGGTAGTCAAGAGGCTGCCATGTAAACAAAAAAAGCTTACTGTTATCAGAAAGATTACTAAATGGTAAAGAAACAAAGAAACTTCACCTCCATGCAGTGGAGGAGGAAATTATGAGATAATAAGCAAGAAGAAAGCAGGCTAGTAGAGTGGTAGAGTCATTTTTTTATGTCGAATTTGTAAAATAGTCAAGATGTTAGATTGCCATTAAAAAAGAACAAGAAAATGGAACACCCTCCAAGTACGAAGTGGAAGATTTTTTGTCCTTCAATCCTCGAGCCACTGTACGGCGCCAAACAACATAGTTGACAATTTTCATCTTCTTTTAATATTGTTAATCTTCTATCTTTCATTGTCAATTAATTTTCCCTCCCTTTCATATGAATGACCCCATTGGCCATCTCGCATATCAAATTCATGGACGAATTCTGGTTAAATAAATGTCTGCATCATCCATTATCATAATATTCTTGAGTGGCCCGATCCCAAAACTCTTTGAACTTTTGAAGGTGGCCTGCCTTGTAAATGGCCCGAGTATCCTGTAGCATGCACCACATATCACAATTTTATTTTATTTTTTATAATTTTATTTTTTATTTTTTATTTTTTATTTTTTATAGAGGCAACTGTGAGTCCCTTTTGAACACTAACTGACACTTACGTCAAGAGTCCATTTCTGAACAACATATGGCATGAATCACAGTTTTATGCCATTAGTAAGTCAACCTAACCAGGTTAGGTTGTTTTTGCTGGAAATAATGTAGGAAATCCTTATACTTATCCAAACTCTATATATTATGAATTATGCACCTTTCTCCAAGATAAACATTCTCCGTTTTCTAAGTATTCCTGAGCAAGTCCTCCTGTAGGCGTCGTTTCATATGCAACGAAAAACAAATGGAGATTTCAAATGTTGCCTGACCATGCTAGTGGATAAATTTTAATCCCATTTAACAGAGAAGTCAAAAAGACCAGGTCAAGTAAAAATATATAAATCTGGTGGAATGGACGATCACATACATCAATGAAAACAACCAAAACTAAAATTTTATGAAAATCCGTACTGAGTCAGTGCAGTATGAAAACAAGCCATCAGAGATATTTACAATATTATGGAGAGCTGAGGACAGCATTTACCAGATCAACAGTTTATCGTTAGAAGATAAGCAAACGCTCATGGAAGCCAAGACTTTAGAGAGCAGGAATATGCAAGTCTCAAAATTTTCAAATGAAAGAAATGGCTTACGCCCAATCCTTGTCTATCTCAATGGGGGCAGGTATTGGTGTTGAATGTGAATTATTATGGATTAAACCACATCATCGATGAGATAAATGTTGCTTTAATAATACAGTTTGACAGTGAGATCACTCAAATTGTGTTCTTTGACGTAAGTATGAATACATCTGATAGCAAATTCTAAAACAATAAAATTACAAGTTGGAAAAGTTTCCCTCACATCTCATGTGGCATAAAACAAAGGAAAAAAGTACAAGATGTAGGAATAAATCAACTGTCCTTGAAGGGTGGGAGGTTAACCGTATCATATTGCTTGATATACAAGAAAATCAATCGGGAAACTTCCAAATTACAGTTCCAAGTAATGTGGACTTACAAGTGGCTTTGCTCTCTAAAGTCCTTTGTGCCATCGCAACTTGCAAGATGAATCAGTTTCATTCAAGCACAAAGGAGCCAATCCTCAACCAAGCCCACTAGTACTTTGGGTACCAAAACATACCTTTAATGCCCTCAGGATCAGGTTCAAAACCCAAATTCTGATAGAAGTCTACGACTGCAATGGCAATCAAATAAAACCATGTCAATCCCTAACAAAATTTATAACTCTGATCCCAATAATTAATCCCAAACAAAAGTCAACATGGTTTCAAGGTCACTAATATTATAAGAGCAAAGCTTAAATGAATGCCATTGATCAGGATAGGATTAAATATAGCAACAAATCAAGTAGTGAAAAATAAGCTAGGGAACCAATATCTAGCAAATCCTTGACCCTTTTAAATGATACAGAGATCAAATATTTGGCAGTTGCACACGCAGGCAAATATGCGAGTGGAAGAGCTCTACACGCATATCTAGGGGAGGGATACCGATATTTAGCAGTAGCAGAAGATCTGACAGATTTTATGGTGCAGGAATGCAGTATAATGAACCAACAATGCATTTTACTTCAGAGATTGCTATACCTTGACTATCTGCAAACAGTGTTATGTTGCCAATATCCCTTTGTAGAAGAGCTCTAATAAGCTTTTCAACAAGTGTCTTACCAAAGCCTTGGCCCTGAATGAAAGAGGAAAAAAAATTATAAAAGGCAATGTTATCTGGCATAGTATCAAGAGTGATCAAAGATAAGAATCCTTAGTATCAGAAGTGATAGTTACATGCACTTATGGCAGACTAATAGTGAGTTCATTCGATTAGTACATGATTCCAAATCCAATATTGCTTTGTTTCCATGCTTTGAACATAACTTTTTCATGTCATGCACCAAGCCAAAATGAATAAATCTGGAAAAATGCCGTGGTGATGTTTCAGTAGCCACCATAATCTAAATTCAGTTCAAAATCGGCTAGGTCTTATTTTCCATCCATTCCAAATGGCCGGCTTTATGTAGCCAAATCACACTGCCTGCCACTAGCAACTGGTTAGGTTCACTCTATCTCCATTCTGCTGCCAAAATTTTCCTAAAGCGACTTCCAAAGTCAACAATCCCTGCAGAATGCGTCACTATTACCATAATTCGCTCTAGAATCCAAAAAAAAAAAAAAGGTGAGAAGAGAAGTATTGAATTTACAAGAAAGGTTCTCCAGTATTGTGCAGAGGATTACCATACAAATATTGCACCATGCATGCATCTATGTGTTCATAACTTCGTATTGTTACATAACAAGAAATAGTACTTCCTAATTCTCTGCATCGGCAAGTCAGCACATTTATCTATGAACAAGTAACATGGAGAATACCTGATAGCTAGGATCAACCAGAACATCCCAAATTGTAGCATTGAAGGCGTGATCAGATGTAGCACGAGCCATGCCAATTAGCTTCTTTTGGTCATTCCCCTCTGTCAAATAACTTCTCCAAGTACACTAAGATGTTTACAAAATAATTTAGATGCAGAAATAAGTGTAATTTAACTTACAATATCAATTACATAAAATGGGAGGACTTCACAACAATGCCATGTCTACTAAGTACCTGATCCAGGTGTTTTCTGCACAGAATGCAGTGTGGCTACCAAGTAGCTATTTTTCAATGCTGCAGCTAATTTTGACAGTGGCCTTCTAGGCCAGCCCACCTGTTAAGCACTGACTTTAGTTTTCTTTTATTGATTTGAATTTCACTAGTATATTACACCATAATACTGATCTAGCAACAATTAAATTGGTGAACCTTCAAACAGGAAAGAAAGCCTACAGATTTCAAAAGTATTATGTGAGTAGCAATCAAACTTTATTGGTTTTATTGAATTACCATGTAGCTATTTTTCAATGCTGCAGCTAATTTTGACAGTGGCCTTCTAGGCCAGCCCACCTGTTAAGCACCGACTTTAGTTTTTTTTTTTTTTTTTTTTTTTTTTTGAATTTCACAAGTATATTACACCATAATAGTGATCTACCAACAATTAAATTGGTAAACCTTCAAACAGGAAAGAAAGCCTATGGATTTCAAAAGTACGATGTGAGTAGCAATCAACCTTTATTGGTTTATTGAATTCCCTTGTTGCAATCTTCTCTCCATCAAAAGATGGACTATTTTTATAATTTTAACCCAACATAATAGGGTCATTTTATACTCTGGGTTTCTGCAAGTCAGAATCCAGATTCAAGAAAGACTCTTCTAGGTGAATTTTTAAATTATGATATTGGGAAATCAGCTACCATCATAGTGGAGGATATCATTTTGTAGCAAAAGTTACTGCCATCTTCACCTCTAGGCCAAAAGACGAACCATGTAGGTGATATATTATTGAGTTTGATTCGCTGTCATAAGATCATGACAGAGAATGGTGCTGACAATATAAAATAGTTACCTTATCACATAGGGTCTGCAGATCATAAATATCAACATCTCCGCCAGAAGAGAATATTATTTGCTCAATCGCTCCGTCTTCTTCAGTCTTTTCCACAAGAACAAACTCTTCAGGCTGTGGTTCTTCCTCTTCGTGGAGTGTAGAAGGTGATTCAACAACTTGTGTTGAGTTGTCCTTCAAGAACCTGTAGCCGTTATATAAAGATAAAGAGTGAGACAGATGAACTTGCAAATAGAATCCTGCTACTTAGGTAAAGTCCATCAATGAGAAGTGGAAAAACTTAACTGCAGATACAATGCACAACATACTACAAGCTCACACGATAGCCCAACACACAGCGGTAAGACAATGCCAATCACAATGCTCTAAGCATTAAATTTTTTAATTCAAAAATTTTTTATAACTAGCAATCATAAAGTTACTAGATAATCAAAGTTTAATAGTCCAAACATATAAGACCATGTATTAAACCCAAACCATAATCTATTCCCAGGACTGATTTTGGAGCATAAGACAACCACAATTAAAGCAAAACACTACAAAAATTAGGAAGCAAAACTAAGAGAACACCTCGCTGAGTAAAAGTTAAAACAATTGAAACATAAGAAACAGCAATTGGATTTGGGGATACTAAAAATTTCTAACAAACTGGCAACATACACCAATACCCTTATCGATAATAGGCAAATAAGGCATCCTAATATTACGAGGCACCAACACCATGATTGGAATTCAGAAAGCTTCCAATTTTGACGGGCGATTGTATATATATGATTATCTACATATATCTCACCACAAGCATTTTATTAGATGAAACAAAAATAAAAGCAAAATAAAGAGAGAAATTCATATTACCCAGATCTTATGGAGTCCCAAAAGTTAGCCCTGAGTCTCGAAACCTTAAGCTTTCTGCTGCCTTCAAGAAGGAAAAAAAAAAAAAGTATAATTCTTGATAATCACCAAGTATATCTTATTATGTCCACACAAACTGACCAGAAACAGCAATTTGGTACACATACAAGGAAGAACATACCCGGATTTGCAAGTCTATAATTGAGATGATTCAATTGATATTTAGATGATTCAAATGAAAAAACTGGCAATCTGCAATAAGCCCCACAAATTTTTAATCCAAGTTCAAAAACCCTATTTTTTGTTAATTAATACTAAATAATCAACAGCAGGTTTAAAGAACTTACATGGAAGGAGGCGCGACAATGTTTTGGGTTAGCATTTTTTGTTTTTGAGCTTCTTCTTGTTGAGAAGAAGAGATAACTGCTCACTGGCAGAGTGACTGTGCGGGAGTAGACAAACGTTCTTTTCAAAAATTCCCACTTCTTGTGTTTTCTATATATGTGGCCCAAAGTTTTCCAAGTATTACTCAATTTCCCTGATTTTGTTGTTTCACGTGATGGGTTTTATAACATCAGGAATCCCTATGGGGAATTTTTTACGCGTTATTCAAAGAAGTACAAATAGTTTTACTGTGAAAAAACTTGTTGAAAGTCATGCTTGTGAAGTGGCTTTTAGGGGGGAAAAAAAACATACTCTAGAGTTATTTCTGAATATTTTGTAAAACTTTCGGAGATCTGGCTATATAGGAAGATAGATAATAAGGATCTTATCAAGGAAGCTACAAATTGAAGAAGCTGTGTTTTGAGGTTTCCCCTTCACAGGCTAGGAGATCTAGAGGGTAGCAAAACATTTCACTAGCTAGAGATGAAGAGAGAGAGTATTTATGCAATGTTAGAGGACTATATATATTTGTGAGAGCTTAGGCAGCAAAACCCTAATAGCAGTGTTTTGTGGTGGAAATCTAAAAACCCTTGTTTTTGTATATAGAATGATTTTAGAAAAAAAAAAAAAAACTCGAAAAGAAGAATAAAAAATGCCTAATGAGAAAAACATAAATTTCAATATGATGAAGCAAAACCATTTTTAATGGTGAAGTATGGTTTAAGTACGATGGTGAAGGGGATAAGAATACAAGTGCTTCACTTACAATTATGGAGTACAAAATAGAAGCACAAACATGTTTCTTAGTTAGACAAGAATTTGAACATAACTCATCCATTCTATGTCCTTGGTTGTCCTTGATGACGTTTGTGTAAGCATTCTAATTATTTTCCTTTCTAATATTTTTTAATTGGAATATGTATTGATTTCTAATTTTTATATCGTAGGGATGGATAGAGTTACGTGAAGCATGCATATCAATGGAAAGGGTGTATTTCATGGAAGAATGAATGTTGAAAATAGTTATGCTATGGATGACTATATGTTTAAACTGATTAACATTGGCTCTGTTGCAGATAGCCATAATAAGGACTTGACGCAAAACCAACAACGTGATATTTTTAATTTCAGAAATCTTCTTCAAAGTAATATGACACTTGATTACAGAAAGAAAAAAAATTGTTCCTAAAGAATGGAATGAGTTCTTAAGATTTTTTTTTTACGATTATGCAAGATATTTTTTTTTCTCACGTCATCTTGTGTTCTAGTGTCTGATAGCTAAATGTGGTATTAATAAAACAACTGTAGTTTCAATTTAAAAAACAACACTTTTACGTAAACTTCATCCTGTTCTGGATAGAATAACATCCTATTTGGATATGAACATCATGGATATTGCACAACTTGATTATTATAATTATACTGATACCATCGAGAATGCCTAGGTAAAACGTAGAGCACTTCTAATTATGGAAGAGAGTTTAGAAAAATTTTATAAGGAACATATCCTTTTCTTTGACAATAAATGCGAGTTCTTCGATTGCTAAAGGTTGTTAGTAGAGTGGTAAGAAGAGTGTCTCTAGTTCACTGGACCAAGTTTGATTTTCATTCTTAAAAAGCTCCTCTCTCTCCTTTTTGTGACATTAGACATGAACTGCTAGTTGGCTAAAAAAGTATGATCTTTTAAATTGACTAAAGATTAGATATGATTCAGTGATGATCTAGTTTAGAAAGTGATGAAGTAGTTTTGGTTAACACTACAAAAAAAAAAAAAAAAAAAAAATTGATTTAGCGATAATTTAAACCATTGCTAAATAAAAAAACCCGTCGCTAATTAAACTTAGTAACGTTTAGAGACGATCCAAAACGTTGCTAAAAAGCTTCTCGTTAATTTATTAGAAACGAGTTCAAGGATTCGGTCGGTAATTTAGAAACAGTTTATCTATTGCTAAAAAATGAAAAAAAAGGTCGCTAATTTAGTGATAGTTTCTCAAAAATCATCTCTAAACGAGTCGCTAAATTTAGCTTCTATTTAGAGACGGTTTATCTAAACCTTCGCTAATTTTGGCCAAATTTAGTTTGGATTTTATTTCGTCGTTCACATATCGCTAATAAGTGATGTATCTCGTTTTTATTTTCACATATCTAATCCAATTTAACAACTACAATAACGAGTATATCGAATCCAATCCAATCCAATAGATATTCAAACATCAAATTATTTTAAAGTGTATTGATATTTCAACAAATAAAAACATAATAACGATAAAGAAAAGATAATGTCATGAAGGGGATACATGTGACAATCGGCATTTTCATCCGACAAATGATGGTCGATCGATGGATTGGTGGGGGAATTATCTTTTTATATATTCTGCAACATTTATCGCATTATCACAAGCTACTCCCGATTATGCTACTCTAACCGATTTGTAGTAGCTAGGAATAATGAAACAAGTACCCTCAAGCTTCGCATCTTTTTTTCTTATCTAGTAGTCCTGGCCTTCACTTCCTTTTGATGCTCCTCAACATCGATACGGAACCTTGATGTGATCGAACTAAAGAATAAACTAACATTAGAGCAATAATGAGAGGCCCCGTGACTCGAGTCCGCTCACTTTCTTCCTTTTATTGTCTCCTCCTTCAACAACCTTCTTAAATATCTCGTTCATATCGATGTTCGGCGTTGAAGTACCTTCCATCCCTTAGCTAGCAACTTCCTCCTCATATACTTTATCAACGAGTATCCTACATAATTGCACAAATTTAAATATTGAATAGTAATCTCAATAAATTATATAAAAAGTGACATACGTATGAAATAAAGTTATAAATTACTTATCGTAAGATTTTTTGCTCACCGATCGATGAATGCGTACTTATCATCAACTTGTTTTTCGTGAGTCTTCAAGAACACTTCATGAGCATCGAGTTCACAACCTAACTCCTTACCCCGAAACAAATATACTTAAATCTATATTAATGTTGTATATATATATATATATATATATGATTTATCATGCGTATTATGTGATCTTTGTGTGTGATTGAACCCCTTGTATGTCTAAATGGGCCAACCTCGATGCCACCCATCTTTCTCATACAATTCTAGGTCATTCGCTCGGACCGAGCCCGAGACTCTAGTTTTGCCTATTCTTGTTGCTATGCATCCCATATCTCCTGTGAGATAGACATTGGTTTGGAGTGTGTCTTCACATGATAAAAAAAGTCAAAATATCACTTTCATGCCGGATTACGTTATGCTTTCTTAAAGCTTTGATTGAAATCTCGATCTCACATAACGAACTTCTATAAGAACATTAAAAATATACGATAAGCGCATTTAAATAAACATTAAGCAACATAATTAAAATGTATTGTTACATAATTAATTAAGCTATATATTAATTACCTTAAACTCCTCCCAATAGAAGTTTTTAGTTTGCTTAGTAATTGACTTTCACGTCACTCTAGATAGGTCGACATGCTCATAAAATATCTTATAGATCCAACGAGAACATATAAGTGATGGATACAATCTATCAAATAAGATAATTAACAATTAAATAAACGTATTATTATAATAATACACCATAAAAAATACGAGTAAACAAATTTGAAGATATTTATTTGCACCGACTTGTAACTTTCTCGCTACCTTTTCTATTGGAATTTTGTTTTCTTGATTTTCTTGTGAAGAATCGAAGATGGTTGTTGGGTATTTAATGGGCTTATTGCTTTAATGGGTCATGTTATGGACACTCTTGGCCCACATTTCATTTCTTTCACGTTCTCTTTTCTTTTGAATTGTCCATACATGAGGTGTGGATTTGATCATTATGATTTCTCCTTTAGGGGTAATTATTCCGTAGATTCGGTTTAAGTTGATCAAAGCGAGTTTAATTGGTTAGTGAAAATAGAGCCAATTGATTACTGTAAGTGGGTTCCAATGAAGTTATTAACTTGGTCTACATAATTCAAGGTACAAGTATTTTTCCCATTGCTAAACCTATATATTCCATCGATTTTTTTTTCGGAGACGTAATGGTGACGACACCAATCCATTGTTGCTATTAATTTTAATGACAAAATTTATAATTCGTCTCTAATTTTATTGCGAACAAGATATCTTTATAGTATAGTTTGTACATCGCTAATGTGATGAAATTGGCAACAAACATGTTGTCGTTCTAAGGATTTTTATCCATCACTAATGTGATGGCAAATCACCAACATAAATTTTTGTTGGTGAATTTCTTATCACCAATCTGTCTCTATTTGATCGGTAATACATCAAAGATTTTCATAGTTGTCCATTTGTAATTGATGTTAATTAATCATTTTTTCCATTGTTATTAGGTTGTTATTCCGTTGCTAATATAGAAAATTTAATAATTTTATTTATATATTTTGATATCCTATTTTGTTTTTAATAATTTAATTATCAAATTCAATACCTTTATTTTAATCATTATAATTGAAACAACAAAAAAGCTAATACTAGAAATTTTACCATTTATATCGTTTCCTTTTACGTACAATTAAACCAATAAACACTTCCCATCGAGGTGAAGTGCTAAAAAAATTTTGTTTGTTCAATTACTTAGTATTTGTCCTCATAAAATGTCAAGAAATTGATAATAGTCATTATTAATTCACTAATCTGTCGGTGTATGCCGACAACTTTATGTCCATTTTTTATTTTCGTCACTATTTATCTATTTTTTGTAGTGAAGAAATGGTAGGTTTGATTTGCAATGTGTATTATAGAATTGATGGGAAATGGATTTTGTATAGTTTTGAGTAATTTTGTTGGTTGGGATGGTCATGATTATGGTTATAATGTAGTAGCGTAATAGGTTGTGTACAAATCATATGTTAAAATTCTAATAATTTAAATGATAAATTTTAATATAAAGATATATGATAGGTTGGAAATAACTAATATTTTAGAGTTTCAAGAAAAAAACACATTAATTGATTGAAAATATAATTCAA